AAATGCTCACTTCACAGTAATATGAATATTAACCGTGGCTATGCATTGTGTCATATTTATACAACTGTGTAACAGCACAACAAGGTTTCAGGAGGACCCGGAAAGAGCATTACATGGGATATTGGTTTATTTGAGGGCCTCTTGGTTTCTTTAAAGACCAACCTCAGCTTTTCATGGTTTTAAAAAAAATATGCATTTCCATAGTTAAAAAGAAGCTCTAGCTGCAATACTCCCCTCTGGCTGTCCCCCCAGTAATTACTTTCTTCTACTAGTGGCCTCAGGCTTCTGGATTGAATAAAGCTAAGCATCAACTAACCCAGAAAACAGAGGACATCCTATGAGTGCATGGAGGATGAAGATAAGATGGCCTGTATTCACATACAGTAAAATGATGTGGAGAGTGGCACTGACACAATCACATCAGCACTGCTCTCTGCATCATTAATGAATGCCCATTCCTAGAGAAGATCCAGAGAAGAAGAGGACATTACACATCACGTGGCCTAAAAACGGTGACAATCTAAAGAATTAGCCAGTCTAAAGAATGTTTTTCCTTCACTGGCATGATTAGGCACTAAAACACAGATTATTGACTTCAAGGACCCTGAGGGCAGCGCGATAAGTGCCAAAGGGGCGCATGTATCGCAGTACCACAGGACTAGGAGACAGAACTTACACCCCATTCACACTGAGCGACATGGATATTGTGCGTTTTTCCACGCAATTCTGCGCTGAGTGGCTAGGCGCTACATTGCACGATATTGCACATTTTATCGCGCTAGCGTGTATTTTGGGCAAACTTCGTCGCTGCTACATTGGGCTGTAACCAATCAACAGTGATCTCGATGTGACATCATTCTTTCCTTCCATTTTGCAGTGCAAAAGTGACCCTTCTGTAGCGCGATATCGCGCAACGAAGTCGCGCAATATCGCCGGTAACACTATAGAGTCTATTGGAGCCGAATCGCGCAACATCAGCGCAAAAAAGGGTCATGTACGAGCGACAAGCTACAGCAATAAGCTACAGGCGACATTGAGGTGTGAGATGTGAACAGCTCCATTGAAATACATTGGGCAAGCTACATAGAGCGATGTCGCGCGGAAAAATGCATGATATCAAAAATTGTGCGATAAACAGCTCAGTGTGAACAGGGCCTTAGGGTGACACAGTGGAGTAGTGGTTAGCACTTCTGCCTTCTAGTACTGAGGGGCCCTGGTTCAAATTCTGGCCAAGGCTTGTGTGGGTTTCCTCCCACACTCCAAAGACATGCTGGTAGGTTAATTGGCTTCTGTCTAAATTGTCCCTCTATGTATCCCTGTGAGGTAGAGACTTTACATTGTAAACTCCTCAAAGGCAGGGACTGATATGAATGTGTAATTTGTCAGCGCTGTATAAATTCCTGGAAGCACATGTTGCCAACCTCTGATACACAGTACACCCAGCAGGTTAAACAGGGTAATAACAGAAGTACATTGTGAAGCAAACCCTCCAGCAAGCAAACACATCTATAGAGGTGGACCAGTTGTGTTTTTGTCCAGACAAGCCAATCATCTCTGAATTGGTGCTGACACTGTCCTTCCTTCTGGAGGGTGCCTACTTTTGTTCCCCATGGTCCCTGTGTGTGTTGTAAAGTTGCCACCGCTCCAAGCTCACTCCTGTGATGGACTACAATCTCAATACAAATGAGTAAACTAAACATGAGATTGCAGTACATCACAGGAGCGAGCTTGGAGCGGTGAATACTTTACAACACACACAGGGACCATAGAGAACAAAAGTAGCCAGCCTCCAGAAGGAAGGACAGTGTCAGCGCCAATTCAGAGATGATTTGAGGATCTACAGCTGAGTGATACACAAATAAGATACATTTTTGTTCACAGTTAAAGTACTTGAATGCATATTCAAGATTTAAGTGTCACTTCAAATCTATAGGGGATTGTATGGCTAGCTTTAAGATGACTGATCACCACAATACACATGCACATGTCCTGAACTGGGAAGCATCAGTTTGAACTGTTTTGCATGAAAAAAAAAAGTTCCATTGCTTTGTTGTTATTAGCAGCACTCTGCCATTGGTTAAATGGAACAGCTGACAGAGATCAGCTAATTGGTAATTAGCAGCAGAGACACATAAATAGATAGGAGAAGGATAGGTCATTTAACCTCTCCTCAGCCTTTGTAGGATCTTTGCTGGAGTTCTGAGCAGGTAAAATGTGCGTGCGTGCGTGCGTGCGTGCGTGCGTGCGTGCGTGCGTGCGTGCGTGCGTGCGTGCGTGCGGTTTCCTGGTATATCTGTTGTGCCCTGTGGTTGTTGTATTCCCTTTACAACTTTCCATACATTATTTACTTTTGAAGTTCTTCAAGGTTTCTAGACTGATCACTGTTGGAGTGTAATGCTCTACATACAACAATCTGACTACTCTTGGATCCACTAACCATTGGGTGATGTTAGGGACTGCTTGGTGGAATAAAAATGGAATGAATTGTTTAGGTGTGTCTACAGGTTACATGAGTTTAGTCAGTCTATGGGAGATTGTATGATCAGCATGGCCAGTTTTAGGTACACTCTGCAATAAGAGTCACTAGGTGTAAAGTGAAGAATGATCAACCAAGTGTTGTCTTTCTTTCCAAACTCAGCACAGCCAAAGCTGTCAAGAATGGAAAGAATGTGGTTACTATAAGGGATGGTTCTCATTTCAGTACCAGTGCTACTTTTCATGATTGTCACTAGAAGCAAATATACTTCCCATATCTCAATCTGTTGCTTAAGATAACTGAAGAGGCTCTGGGAACCCAGTATATGAGCTATGGCAGGCTGTGTTTCTTTAAAGCTGAACTCTAAAAGGAACATGGAGAAGGTCTGAATTAGTTTTGAGAAAAGCATGGGGGCTGCCTTCCTGACCTCTTAAAAGTGCTGGTTCCCTGGCTGTCATCCTGAGGCTTTAGCTTTAATGGGGTGTTTCTGACCTTTTGCCAAGGAACTAATTTATGTTTTGAGGTCTGATTCATATGTACTGAAGCCAGACACATGGCATTTTCAAACTGCCATACAGTTCTCAACTTGGAAGATGTGCTCTGTAGCTTGAATATTTGGTGTACTAGCTGTGACTGGCAACAGTTGCAGATGAGACAACAGTATCTGGTTAATGTAGGCACTGGAACATGACCAATGCAGTTGCCTATTCATTCACTTACACTGTATATCCACACAGCTTTTGTAGTGTTTTTTTTTCTTTGTTTTTTAAGGGAGCTTGCTTTGGAGAAATGTGAAGGCTACCACCATGTTGTAATGCTTGCATCTGTACAAGTGGCAAATCTATCTCTGCACTTGCTCTGTTCAGCGATGACAACTCTGATCTCTCCATTGGTGCTATATTTTTAGATGCTTCTCCTGCTGCTCTTATCCTTATTTATAGGGTGGCCTGTGATGGAACTCCCCATGCATGTGTAATGGCCCATCCTGGCTTTATTCTTAACTTCTTGCCAAATGCTGATTGCGCACCATGTATGTGAGCAGCAGAGTAGTGCAAAAAATGACCTGTTGGGTGGAAGGGGACTTTTTTTTTTTCTTGCCTCGGGCGCAAAAGGAGCTGGCTACAGCTATGCTCCCACGGTGCTTGTGTGGCTGCCGGCTGAATGTGGCAGACGCTGCACGCTGGAAAGGGGCAGGACACCTCTCCCTATGTGCAACGTTGGTCACAAGAGCACCACGGGAGGACAGGGCGTCAAGGCCTCTAGGACGCACTGTAATGTAAGCCGGCTGACTCCCTGCGTTCAGGGGAGGGGGTGTGGGGTTGTATTGAAGTCAATGGCACTGCAGCAATGCCCCCCGCCTACAGTGCGATCGCCTGCACTAGGAATGCAGGCACATTAGTGCCTGCATTCCGGTCCAGTGTGATCTGAAAAAATACTGCTTGCAGCATTTTTGTGGATCGGACTGGAACGCAGGCACAAATGTATCTGGGTGCAGGCGATCGCACTGGGGGCAAGGGGCCTGGCTGCAGTGCCATTTACTTCAATGCACCGCCACACCCCCTCCTGCCCCTGAATGTAGGTGTTTTTTCGTTGGTAGATCTCATTGAGCTCGTCATTTGAAAAGTAGATCTCCAGACGAAAAATTGTGGCCGCCTCTGGTCTGGGGGCTCAAATTAAGAAAAATACACTCCTTCCTACCGAACTGCTAGACTGGTCCCCATAGCCTCTTCTCCCCCTGGCTCTGATGGTCTAAGCCCCGCTGAAATCCTGTCTAATGCTGGTCAATTCACCTGCATTAGATGTGGAGGAGAGGTGAGTGCCGACTGCTGCAGGACTGAGGATAAGGTGAGTATCTTCATGACTGCCACTAGACCAAAATGAGCAGTTAGCCCATGCAGTATGGGGTGGCCATGCTGCAAGGATTAACTTTTAAAATAACACGATTTCTTCCTTAGCTTTCACTTTTGTGTGCCTAGAGGTTTTCCTGCATTGTTTGCTGTACCATGGAATGTCAAGAGTGAACAGGACCTTTAAGCATAATTGTCAGGAGTGCAGCGAAAGGTTGCCAAACTATTCGGGGGGTGAAGAGTGATCTTATCTATTACATTGGCAGTTAGTCTGTGTATGATTTAGGAGTGAGTAATGTAAATGCCTTTTGTGTCTGGGAGCATATAAATGCTTTGTGAACTCTGCTGCATCTAGCACTGCATGGGTTAACAGGAGCTAGCATAACTACTTCCTTATCTGTAAAACATTACAGCTTTTGTCTGTCGCTGCACGCAGTAATAGGATGGCTAGACATACAGTAGATACATGCAGTCATAAAAACATGGCTGAATATACAGTGTATGTCCTTCCCCAGTGCTTTCTGAGGTGCACTGTTGTAACAATGGGGCTCCTGTATGGCCTTGAAACTTAGGCTAGGAAGTGTGAGCAGAAGGGTTGGGCCTAGGATGCCCTTGCAGTGCTGTCCTTGGAGGGGATTGAGTGAGGTGATGGGGTGTGTCTGCTGTGTAATGATGTGGTCACAGCTACAGACCTAAACTAGGGCTCTAGCCACTCCTCTAGCTCATTCAGAAAGCAGAAGTCGCATCGCTATCCTCCTTGAGCCTTCCACAGCCTTAAATCATGTATGTATATGCTGATCCTTATTTGGGTTCTGCTCTGCGCATGCCTTTGCTTCCCTCCAGGCTGCAGCATTGCAGGGGTTAAAACCGTTCTTTGTGCGTCTCTCCAGCAGCATCAGCAAACGAGAGGAAGCGTCGCTCGGTTACACTTCTCTTTTGCAGGAGGACCAATGTGTCCTGGCTGCCCCAACAACCTCCTGGCACTGGCAGTCCTCCCTGTCCTCTGATACCCAGGCATCTTTAGATTTGGCACTAGTTTGCAAGGATGCTTTAATTGCTGACTTTTCTCATTTGCTCTGATGTCTCTCTCAAGAATGAGTGTCTGTGCTCTTCTGTTGAACTGTATTATGCTGTTATTGCTGCTGTAGAACACTGTAACGGTGCATTATAAAAGTGTCTCTCCTTGTCTTCACCATGGAATCCGGCATTGGCCTCTTCATGTAGAACAAGAACTGGAGGCTTGCCAGATCTCCACGCCTTCATTTAAAGGCCCTGCTGAATAACTTCACTTCTACGTATGAAGGAATTGCTGACGTCCTCTATTGACAAGAAGGTCTCGCTGTCTGCTTTCCCTTTCTGGAGTCTATAATCGCTGACTTCCCTTTGACACGAAGGTCCTCGTTGTCAGATTTCCTTTCCTGACACTACAATTGCTGTTAAACTGTTCAGGAATCTTGTACAGGTTTACTAGTATTTCCACTATTGTTGGTGTCCTAAACTTCATGCAGGATCCCTGTCCCAAATCAACAATTGTTTAAAGATCAGTTGCTCTTGGCAACCGGATGTTCTGCTTCTAAAACAGAACTACGAAAGCCGAAGGGTTACTGTGGCATCTATTGGGGTCTATAGGAGGCCCATTCGCTCTAGAGGCTGGAGGAAGGGGGGTGGCTGGCATGATTCATCAGGATGTGCCAGGCAGCACAGGAGTAATGGCTGCTCTGCGTTTCTTGTCAAATAGCTGCATACATCTGCTCTTAGTAAACGGATAAGGATGACACAGCATCCAGTGCTTAGATGAGGGTTACGTAACGCATGTGGTTACAGTTCTTGGAAATCTTGCTATAGGAAATTAGACTAACCAGCGAGCCTAGAACATACTTAAACTTTCTCTCCTTAGTACTCTTTAAGATTACTTGTGCCCA